AGGGAATCCCCTTTACCAACTAACACTCCCATACTGTGCATGGCATTTCGCAGGATTTGCTCAACATGATCCACTGTAAGTTTCTCAAGCACTATGACTCTACAGCGGCTCAACAGAGCATTGTTAAGCTGGAAAGACGGGTTCTCTGTAGTTGCTCCTATCAATGTAATTGTTCCATTTTCAACATGTGGAAGAAAGGTGTCCTATAAAAACCAGAGCAGCAATGAGGTAATTTGTAGATTACTAATTAATGGGTAGAATGGGTAGTTAATGATGCTGTTTCGCTGTTATGAAGAAAGAAATCTGACCAATAAAGGGTGTACATTGGTTATCATGTTGCAATGTTCCAGACTGACAGTTTGTGGGAGAAAAAAAAATGGGCAAAAATCCTTACCCAAACTCTGTATCTCAGTCTTTGTGCCAATCCTATCCTTTATGCAGTGCCCAAATATGAACTGAATGCCTGCAGTAGGCTACCATAACAGCTGCCTGTCAGCTATCAGTTGATTGACAGTTGATTTACAGTACAGGGCAGGCTTACCTCCCAGGTGAAGGGGGGACTCATATAAAAAGGTGCTTGTCTGAAAATTTGTACAAAACCTCTAAACGAGACCCATCTAGGCATGGCTGGAGCTTTATTTGACCCAAAAAACTATGCCATCCTGCACTTGCTGTTTGAATTTTTTGTCACTTGATTGATCAAGATGGTATGTCTACTGTCTTTTTGTGACTGTCATGAATAAATGTTGCACTAACACAATCTACATAGTAGCAATATTTACCTGTTGAAGTTTATTGAATCTGTGTATCTCATCCACAAACAAAATTGTTTTGCGTTTAAACATTTGTAGTTCATTTCTTGCCACTTTCACTACCTCCTTGATATCACTTATGCCACTTGTGGTCGCTGACAGCGGTACAAATCGAGCTTTGTTACTGGCTTTGGCAGAGTTGGCTATAATGTGAGCCAGAGTGGTCTGAAATCATAGATAGCAACAGTTCGACATACAATATTAAAATGATGTTACCACATAAAGGAAACAAAATATTTGTCAAAATAGTATACCTCATGTCAGGCTAAACTCATTCAAAAACCATACCCTTTGGTGCTGTACCCATTGAAAAAACTCATAAAAAAGATACCCTGAGTTGCAAGGTTTTTGAAGAAGAGATTCAATGGAACTATCTTCATTAAAGAATAAGGAAGTCAGTTTTTCATAACACCAGAACAATTAACCAGTCTGTTTGCATTGACCTTAGTTCAAATAACTTATAATAAGGGACAGACCATTATGTTTTGAGGAGGGTGGGTGGGCAGTTTCCGAAAAAAATTCCGCCACAGCAAAAGTGACTGCAAAAAACTCGTGTCAGGAGAGCCATGGGGAAAAAAAAAAATGTAACAAGTGCTTTCTACTATTTAGGTCCTGTGTTTGACTTTAAAAATTTTATAGTGCAAGCTATTGCCCACCTAAAAGAATCATGCACAACCCAGGCGAGAAAAAGGTGAGAAAAAATTTCATGCTCCAGAAATTTTCCCCTTCTCTTGGGCACTCCTCCCCCCACCCCTGTCCTCCAAAACATAATGGTCTGGCTATGCTTATTTATACCTTGCCACAACCAGGAGGACCCCAGAAGATCATAGAAGGAATTTCATTGGCCTCAAGTAAGGTTCTTAAAAGACTGTTATTTCCTAACACCTGAGACTGACCGACATACTCAGATAAGGTCTTAGGTCGCATTCTTTCAGCCAGAGGAGTAAACTGACTGGTATTTGATTTTTGTGCTTTCCTGTTATCTTTGCTTTTCTTGTCTGGAAAATATGAATTTGAATGTTGACTTAACACTGATTCCTGAGCCCCCGAAGTGAAGAGCGCGTTGTGATCTGTCTTTTTGTTTTCTGGTGATTTGGAGGTGTTTGTCGTTTCTTGTGACTTCAGTTTCTTCAAAGGCGGATTTGTGCTTGATTTTCCCGCCAAATTTGACGAGCTCCTCTTCAAAATATTCAAAGCGCTTGTTGTTTGGGGGCTTCTAGCCAAGTCAGCGTTCCCATTCGATGCTCTTCTTTTGCTTAAGGTACCAGGAGACTTGTCTGGAAAACTAGCAGCTCCTGTTGTTGATTTGTTTCCCGAATCAACCTCGATTTGACCGCCTGCCGATGGAGACAGACTTGCTTGAGTTGCATTCAAACACTTGTTCACATGTTCGTTCACAAAAGCGGCCGAGAACGAGCGTCCACAAATTGGACAATCGACGCGATTTGTAGCTTGTGACATAGTCAATCAATCAAGTGAAATAAGATTGTCTTTCTCAAAGGTCCCAGCCATCTTTGTCTGCCCTATGGTCTGCCTATGGGGGAGATGGTCGGCAAAGAGCACTCGCTTTGAGGGAAATGACGTCATGTTTTCCCGTTCTATCCATCTTCCAACATGGCGGCCGGTTTTAGAAGTTATGTGTGGGACCCTTGCTTAATCGTTTCGCAAATTGTCGCCGTTCAGTGTGTCTTTTATTTATTCTTAGCGTTTTGGGTTGTACTAGTTGATGTCTGGGCGGGATCTACGCGGTCTCTAGGCCAGTTTTTCCATTACGAGGTAAAATGATCATTGATACATTTGATCTTTTTGCCAACTCTGTCCTTGTCAGAATTTCTGTAACTATGTAGTCTTTTTCGTAGGAACTCCAATTTGTATCGTTTAAAGGAAAGATAACGATGGCAGCCTTCTGTCTAAACACTTTGACTGGGTAAGTATGCTGGACGATCCTTAGAAATAGGCTTAAGCGTCCCATTGTCTTTTTTGAATTTTACTTATGAAGCAATTGAGACTCAGTCGTTTGTACAATATTCCTGAATTCAGCTTCGATTCAGAAAATNCATTTTTTAAGCCTTGTTTTTAACCAGTGCTGTTGCCATGGCAACAGGACACACCTTAGCCAAAATGCAAGAATAAACGCTTCTGTGGTTATCCTTGACTCTTGCCAAAAACGGGCACCAAAGCATAAATAATTTAAAAGTAATGGTGAATTAGGCATAGGCACTTGAAAACTGTGTTCAGCCACCTTAAGTACATTGTACAACTTTGCTGGCAGGTTTGTAGCCTGTGTTGCAAGTGCCCTCCCCAGAATGGAAAAAAACAAACAGAGAGATCATCTGTGAGTTACTTTTGATAATCATCAACTTCCAAGAACCCTCAATAGACCTTTAATTTACAGTACAATATGATAATTGAATTTTTAATTTGATGTTAGGGCTGGTGGATTATGGGTGATTGTCAGAAGAGCAAAACAAGTAAGTTGAATTTCTTAATTACCGCAATGATAAATATTAAACATCTGCACATCATTTCGTACAATTTGCAAATCACAAAACTTGGGCAATCACATGTACTTATTTTGAGCTGTACCTTACTCTGACACAGATGGCAAGCAACCTTACCCAAAACAAACTTTCGATTTGGTTATCATAGAATTGTGGAGGTTTTGCACCCAACTTTCTAGTTCACACAGAGATGTTGGTCAACAGAGTTCACCCCTAGCTTTCACTTTAGTATTCATGCTTAGAAGTGAGAAGTTGTCAGTGTTTTCACCCTCAAGGGTGGTAATAGAACTCACACCACTTTGTCAGTCAATCGGAAAACTAAACCCAATGGTGACTCGCTCCCACATGCTTTCCTGCATTTTGCATCCGCTACATGTATTTGCCTCCAGTTTTGATTGGTTCATTGAATTGTCTGCCTCCTTAGTAATTGGCTAGTGATCAGTTTTGCTTTTATGACACTAATTGAAAACTGCTCTAAAAGTACAATATTTTCTTTACTAATTGATATGAAATGGCTGTATTTTTGTCATCAGTGTCTTGACTTTGCTGCCACTGCACACCTTATTCATCTGGTATTCTGTAGTATTTATGCTGGTTTTCCAAAATCATGGACATGGTGGCTACTAAATCTAGCATGCATGGCCCTAATGGCTGTGATGGGTGAGTTTGTCTGCATGAGAGCAGAACTCAAAGCTATTCCCGTCTCAGTTTCTTCAGTGAAGTCCACAGTTTGACATCAAGATACTTTCAGCTATCACTTACTGTTCGTGTCTGGGTAGTGACACAGTAAAGGGGAGCAGAAAGGCTGGTGTTTGCGAAGCAAGGGCTCAGAATGGTATTTGAAAGGGTCTGGGATTGTTCACAAGCAAGAAGTGAGATGGAGACTGTGGACAACATATACAGCATCACATGCTGTGCAAGTGCAGTTTTTGGGACAGTTAATCATGCTGCATCCTTTCAATATTCAGAACTAATATTTTTGTACCTTGGTCAGAACCTGAATTGTTTATGCTAATGAGACAAAAATGGTAAACAAAGATTCCCCTATTGGATATACCGGTATTTAGATATATAACATTATGGTCGTGTGGTAATGCAAGTGCCAGAAGTTTGAGTACTTGCAGCCAAGTGTAACAGCAATAGTACAGCACACTGACCTCGGGTCATGAGGGCAGAGAGTAAGGGTAAGAAGGGGGGGCTAATATTGGGATTAGTAATTTTGAGTTTTTCAGAAACTTGCTTGAGGGGCTACTGGTTGAAGGCAAATTCTGGTCTTAAAACCTGGACTGAGCTCAAGAATTTAAATCAATCAAATGATTGTTTGACATTTTTTTGTGGGTAAATAGTCAACAAGGTGCAGCCAAGTTGACTAGCACTCACAGAAAACAAGGATTAGTAATAATGATAATTACTGTATAAAATGTTATGCATTCAAGAGGAATGTTACCTGTCAAGAGCTACATGTTCACAATCAGAATCTTTCACCAAATAGTATAAATCTACTGGCCTTCTATCACAAATGCCATTGTCTTATTAGCTATGCCACTTGCATTTATTCTNTGTTACCTGTCAAGAGCTACATGTTCACAATCAGGATCTTTCACCAAATAGTATAAATCTACTGGCCTTCTATCACAAATGCCATTGTCTTATTAGCTATGCCACTTGCATTTATTCTGTTGTAGATAGTAAGTAGCCTAGCAGAGTGCACTTGTTAACAAAATGCGTTTTCAAAGTGTATCTGAAGAGGATAAAGTTGTAAACAACTAGTAGATTTATACTAAAATGATTAGATTATCTGCTTTCAATCTCTATGTATGATAGTTGACTCGGGCTCCACAGGGAGACCACCCTAATCAACTATCACACGACAGAAATCTTGAGCTCACAATAGATTGTGAGCTCAAAATTTCTGTCAATTAAATTATGAGCTTGAGATTTCTGTGGGGTGATAGTTGATGAGACCTTCTTCGGCCTCATCAACTATCACTTCATAGAAATCGAGAGCAAATAATTATCCATTTGCATCAAACTTTTCCTCCAAAACTTTGGGAAAATGAAAAAACGCCATTTTGTAGACGACCTCCAGCCACTGCACACTAATGGCTGATAGTGTGCAATGGCTCAGCCAATCAGATTACAGCATTTGCATTAGTATGCTAGTAGAA